ACCCGTTTAAAGTATTTAAAGTAGAATAAAAAAAAAAGATGGGACGAATCGTAAAATTTTCACACGTCAGTTTAAGTTCATTTAAGCATAAACCGATTGTTTATGGTAAACACGATTAGAATAGCAACAAAGAAACTTGTATGATCAATAATAAATAATAATGACAAGATAAACAAGATAATGAATAACAAACCATAACGATCAAATTCTGCATAATTTACACAAGGGCGGTTCTACATAATGCGTTGAGTTTATTGCAGGATTAATTAAATATTAAACTCCGCTACGGGAGTAACAAAGTAATAGCGTTACGCGATTCATCCTAAATGTCAAAAAGACTAAAAAAGACTTTAGAACGTGTTTGCATTATTAAAGGTTACGTAATCTATGCATCGTCAGAGTTTTCAGAATTTTCAAAAAATCGCGCATATTTTAAAAATATTTAAAAAATTTAAAATTACAATCAAGATCATACATAGTCATTTATTAAACATGGCATGAGGTTATAAATATTTATTTTTAACTCCTTGCTATATTTTTATTAAATCGTACAACGAACTTCACTTCTAAAGATCGACCCCGGACGTAAGTAATAATATTTATAATAGATAATATAATTTATTTAATTGTAAACAAAAATAAACTAACCATTATTATCGAACATTACTATAGGTCTATAATTAAATCATTATTTAAATGTTATAATATTTATATATATTGTATCTGATATATATTATATATATTTATCTGATATATATTATATATACTATCTATACAATATATATATAATACTCTATATGCTATATATACACATTACAGCATTATACGTATTATATTCATTATACGTTTTATACGTTCATCGCTATACTACATATCATATATACAGTACAGTGTTATACTATACTACCAGAATATAGGGCAAGTCGGTGTCCATTAAGCTTATGGACCCCTTAACTTTAATTTTTTTTAAGTTTTATTAAAGTGACAATCATACATCAGTTATTCGTAATCTAGATTAAATTGCCATCATATTTACAAACTCCGATAATGCTTTGTTTTTGAAGAACGTTACACATCATCGGAATTACTTGATACCCAGCTCCGCCTCCACTCATAATAATAATTGAATGAGATCAGCTGGATACCATTTAATTTAATTTGATTTGGTTTTTGATTAGTCACATTAAAAAAAACTTTATATCTTGACAGTCATGGCGTTACGTGGCAATAGCTCCCAGCTCTAATAATGAAATCTAATCTTTTTTCTCATTCTTTGACGCCTTATTACCAAAATAAAATACATTAATCCCTAAATACCATGGTGCTATATACCATGATGTATATGTATATATATACATATATAAATATATACATATATAAACATACATATATATATATATATAAACAAACAACTTTCTACGTATGATGTAAGTGTAAGCCAAAATTACTAACAGAATCTTATCGTAACACTATCACAACCATGCTAAAATCGAGATTATGAAAAAAAATAAAGCGAGGTTAAATGTGCACGGTACACACCCTCCATCTAGTATATGTGCATATTTCTTGTTAAATGCACACTTAATAAATCCAAAGCAAGTATGGTTTTTTTTCATGAAACTCTATTTGGAAAATCTAGTCTCTCATAGATACTGTAGTAAGTCAAATGATACTGTAGTGAGTCAAATTTAGAATGAATGGGTTTTAAGATCAAATACGATAAAATATTGTATTATGTAATCTATATTGTTTATATTGTTTCTACTGTTTTATTCTATCTTTCAAATATATTTATCGTACCTTTCAAATATAAATTCATATAATGTAAGTGTGAAAAAAATAAAATAAACATGGTGTAAAGTCTATACACATGGTGCAAAGTATATACATATGGTGTAAAGTGTGAAAAAATACTCTTAGTATAGCGATAATGTATAAGTGTTAAGTGTGAAAATAAATAAACAAATGAAAATAAATAAAAATAAATGAAATTAATCATATATACTGCATATTTTGCGTATTTCTGTGGGTTTGGTTAATAAATAGCATACACATAGCATACATATAGCATACATTTAACATACACGTTTATCAATGTTATACGTACCAGCTTATCATATTTAATTTTAATATGTATTCGTACTTCGCTTTTATGAGGCAGACAGAAAAAACCAATCCGAAAAGATTATATAGATACAATATCTAAAGTTTGAAATATAAGAGGGTAAATGATTTAGGATACAATTTACACACGCACAACATGAGATCCAAAGAAAGCTCACAGATGAAAGATGTCCTATCTAGGCAAGACTATTCATTAAATGTATAATAAATTCGTATAATAAAGATGACAATGCATTACCGGATTTATTTCGGGAAAAGCATTTATTCAAAAATGTGTTGTACCTACTTATGTACTTGATTATTTACACAAATCAATTTTTTTACATAACTTGTTCCCCCAGAGGTGTGTTGATCTGATTCATAAAGTGTGAGACCAAAGTTACATCAAATTACATATGACGCATGAACTAAACCAGCACCATAAAATCACGAGCGTAAAACTTTAATTGTTTTACAAATTTTCATGCATATACCCCCCGTGATACATTGTGCACATTATATTTTGAATTAATACACGTAAACAAATCTATATTTTTTAATTGACGCGCCTGACATTTTTTATTTTATTTTATTTATTTTTTTTTTATTTATTTATCTTATTTTATTTTAGATTTTTTTTTTACGCGCGATGTATAAGCGATGTATAAACGATGTATAAAATTGGTAAATTCCAAAGTGTACTTGTTCTATTGAACTAAAAAAGGTTTTATGATTGAGATGATGGGTTGTTGATCTAATAGATAGAATAAGCTAGAATAAGGCCGAAAAAGATGAGAAGGGAAACATGTGCGAAAAATTTTTTAATGTTATTGGAGTTCTAAGACCGAATAGATGCATCGATACTAAAGCTGATCCTAAGGCTGATACTAAAGCTGTTACTAAACAAGAGGTTTGACTTGTTGGCTGAATGCGTACGCATATTACAGTATACAATACTGTATTCAGTATTCAACAGTATTCAACTGTATTCAGTATTCAACAGTATTCAGTATATACAGTATTACATACATACACACACTGATTATCATATAAAAAATTAGTATCGTTACGAAAGTCTCCGTTTTCGTTCATACCCGATGAATTCATGTTAATCAACGCATTTGCCTTAAATATTACTTCTCCCTTCTTTTTCTTTTTTGATTAATTTCTAACCAAATACCTCTAATTAATATATTATCAATATACTGTATGATTAATGTATGTTTAATCCTATATATACTGCAATATACACTGCTATATATATATAATACAATATATACTGTTATATATGCTGTTATATATACTGTTATATATACTGCTTAATTAATATATGATTAATAATGATTATACCAAGATTATGCGTAATTACATTTAGAAAACGCATTTATTTTAGCTTGATACCCATTATAAACGCAAAACTTCTCTTTTTTTAATAATTATGTGACATAGATGATGTATGCTATTTTATTTTAAATTCTAAATGCGTTTACCCCTCCAACTAGTTTGGAAGACAAGGATTGATATTCGCAGCTAATGTGTAACCATAAGGATCGTAAGAAATTTGCCCGTTATCCGGAGCTTTCTAATTTACATAGTACGGACTTTTGAATTATTTACCGATTATGTACTTAGTAATATAAATATAGTAACATCGTTTATGATCAAAGGAAATGCCCGAAAAAATTCCATTCCTTGCGTTCTTCATCTTAAGTCATATTATAATTAATAATTGGTTTTTATCCTTATGATTTTACTTTCGTTTACTTTACAAGATTGGTTATGTACGAACAAATTTACATTTATCATATATTTAATTTATGGAATTATTCAATATTAAAATGTTTATTATTGGTTTATGAAAATCTATATATCGATGGTACGCATATATTTATGTTCCGGTGGAACAACCTTTGTGCACGTGATAACAATAAAAAATCTATTGTTGTATACATATCGTAGTGATTGTTTTCTATTATCGGTTAACAAGAGAGAACTTGTAATCAAATATATATATATATATAAAAATTACATATAGCTTAGGTATTAAGTGTTACTGTTTTGTCTTCGTAAAGAAAATAGATCATGTCTTTTCTACACTGTTTAAAGACTAAATCTAGGTAGTAATTTATTTCGTTTTAATTAAAAATACTATCACATCCATTAAATATATTTTTGATTCGTAAGACAATTTTCTCACTATTTTAAAAGTGTTAATTTAAATATACAAATATACTGTTATATTTACTCTATATAAATCTATATATATTTATTTGCTCAATTAAATAAATTCTTAGCAATTTTCAATAGTGATCATGACGATAGTTGTTCTTTTTTATTTTTTTTATTCTTTATATGCTTTTAATAATTCAATTCACTTAGATCACGTGAATGGGTCTGCATTAACTCTGCTCGGCTTTGGCGTTGCCCTGTCCCTTTTATAAACTTAAATAGGTCTCAGGGACCCATGAATAACGGGCTTTTAACAACTTGAATAGTATATATATAATATATAAAAATATTTTATTTTTGCAATTTTGTTATTTTAAATATACAGTATAATTAAAAAAAAATTTTTTTTTTTTTTGAGAAATAAGAATTGAATATAAATAAATATTTTAGAATAAATATCAAAATTTTGACTACTTGCACTTCGCCTTCCTATCCACAAATAATAAATATATATATAAAAAAAAAAAAAAGTTTCTCTCTTTTCAGTTATATTTCAAATGTTGTATTTCTTCTATTCATTTACCTTTTCTTTATCTATGTCATGATCGTTTTTTTCTTTAATTCGAAAATTTTCACTAGAATTTTATTCAAAGTAATAAAAATAATAGTAATAATAAAGAAAACGGTCTGTCACCCTTCCTATTTGTTTTTTGTGTTCAAATCTTAGGATGCCTCCAATTCGAGAACATCATTCTCTGGAGGCTCACCATAATCCATCCGCGTCTTCTGAAGACGAAGATCCTTCGTCTCCAGCTAAAAGTGATAAATCTACGTCACCTTCAACCGATAAAGATCGTAAACGTGGTAAAAGATCTCCGAGCATTAATACAAGAGCATCAAGAGTTGGAGTCACGAATTTTATTAACGTAATAAAAAGTTTACATCCCGGAGAATCGATAAATTATTTCCCTATTACAAAAGAAACTTTACAACAATATATTGATTCTAAACGCAAAGCTCTTATAAAAGCTGGTTCTTTGGAACAATATTTACAACACATTCAAGCTTATAATATTGCTCTAGGTTTCGGTTGGGATGGTCATATATTCGGTCCAATTATTAAGAAAGCTTTAGATGAATTAAGATCTCATGAAGATGAAATCTTGAAATCTTCTAATTCTCAACCTATTATGACAATTCCTGATACATTAGATACTATTATGTCAATTTCTGATCCATTAGATACTATTGTGACTTCCAGTGCATCTGTATCTGAAGCAATGACAATTGATAGTAGAATTCCCGATTTGTTTACTATCAATGAAACTGATGTTGATCCTATTGAAAGCGATATGACTTCTTTTGGAGGTAATCCTGATTTTTTGTTGTCAAAATGTACTCAATTCATTATGTATACCGCGTCACAACTTTTAACTTTATCAACATTGTTACATTATCAACTTTATATTAACTTTGTCAACCATTCATTACTTGTCATGATTTATAGATCAAGAAATTTCTTCTAAATTCATACCTACCGTCTGTTTCGATACTACCAAGATTCCATTTACTATCTTAGATCAACGTGTCAGAATAAATCTTGACAACTTAAATTCCTCTGAACCATTACAGAATCTTCGTCAACTATATTCTAATGTTTCTTTCACAAACTTTCCAAAACCTTGGGGTTCCGTAGATACATTAAGACTCTATTATCGAATTGGAACACAAAACGATTCACAACATTTCGGTTTATTCGATGAATCAACCTTTAATCGCTTTTGGTCTAGTTATAATGACAGTGAGGCTGGGAAGGAAATTCAATTGGTTGTTTATCGTAATGCAGATCCTGGTAGGTTTCAGATTAATTACATATATCAAAAATATGTGCCATGTTTTTTTTTTGTCCACTAAGGAAGCACACTTTAGTTCTCGGCCGTTGAATCGTTTCAATTCCCCTTTTATCATATATTCATGTAGATCATTTCATTTTTATATTTAGTAAACATTTCTGGACACATTCGTACTAGTCCGGAGCCTTTTTGTCAACAAAATCAATCAATAAGCAGAACGACATATATGGATCGTAGATCTGGTACTTTTTCAAGGCGTTGAATAACCGGCTCTGCCCGTGTACATCTTTTACATTGTACTTTTCTTGAAACCACTAATCTTAATTTATAATTCTATAGATATCCCTATTTTGAAGTCTGTTACTATTCGCTCCAAAAAGACGGTATACAAACAAAAAATAGCTGTGAGTGACGCTACTACTTTCGCGTCGTTAATTGCATTCGCGATCAAAGCCACACCTCCGGCTGGGAAACAATTTGTTATCCGGGCATCTGATGGTGCATTGGAATATGTGCCTAGTGATATTGTTAGGGATGTTATAGTTGGTGTTGAACATATCGATTTAATTGTCACTGTCGAAGATATTAAACAAATTGATTTTGATTGCTTTTAGTTATAATATTCTAAAAAAAAAAAAAAAACCAATAAACAAGTTATTCGAATTCTTTTTTTCTTTCCTTCTTCTTCTTCTTCTTCTTAATCTTAGTACTTTGTAAAAAGAAATAATATTACGATCAATTTTTTTTTTATAATTTTTTATGTAAATTACCGTTTTTAAATAATTTTTTTTACATAGATATGACATATGTATATGAAAATGTTTTGCTTACCCTTATTATTATTATTATTATTATTATTTTTAACTTTAGCCAAGTTTTTGGTAACGATAAATGCCATATATATTATATTACTTTTTTTTTTTTTTTATAGCCGAAAAATTTGTATATAATTTATTTTGTTAGTGCTTTCTTAAAAAGAAATCAAATATTATTTATATATTATTGCTATCTTACGACGATTATAAATTTTTTTTCGTTTCGTTTCGTTTCATTTATTTTACACTTAAGATTTAATTAAGTTGTATCCTTTGAATTTGTTTCTTTCTTTTTTTTTTTTAAAAAAAAAAAACATTATGAATAACTTTTATTGTATCCTATTAAAGAAGTTTTTTCATGAGAATTTCAATGCATTTGTTTAAAGGTTTATTTTAATTTATTTTTTTTTTGTCGAGTGTAAATTTATTTCTCTGTAAATCTAATGGTTGGTTATTCTTTTTATTCTTTTTTTTTTGTTTTTGTAAAAAAAAAAGAAATATATATATATGTATTTATTTTGTTTATGTATAAAGAGAAATCCTCCTTTATTACTGTATTAGAAACAAACAGAAATTCAAAAAAAAAAAAGTCAACCGATTTATTTTTGAACTGTTGGTACGATACAATTCCAATTTCGAACATCTATAGTAATGTAGTTTTTTTATTATAAGTAATGCAGCTTTTTATTATAAAAAAAAAATGGTTCTTCTTGTTTTCAGGTATCTTTAGGTTATCAACCAATCGATCAAGTAGATCTTATCATTTAGTTGGTCTTTCCTGTCGCTTACATTCAGGCGTCTCTGATAAAAGATTCTTGGTTTAGTTAATTCAAGGTTTGATGGATTTTATTTTTTTTTGGTTATAACCTTTTAATAACTTTCATTTACCGTATAATAACAATTAATTAAATAATTCAGTGTGAATGAGGAATTATGAATGATTTATAGGAGTACTATGTGACAAATAATGAATTACTTGTATAATTTCTAGAATGAGAATTTTATATATATATATAAATTATATCACGTCACTCTATATCGACACCTCAAAAAAAATAAAGATATCCCAGACGTTGATTTAACCAGAGGAATTTTCACATTAGCAGTTAGGTGTCAAAAATTTTAAAAAATATCGGTTTATAGTTAGATGTCGATATAATCAAAGTGAAGTGTATACATATGAGTTTAGAATCTTGTTTCTGATTCAGGTAAGTGGTATCTGGTCTTTTTTTACAGTATAAAGAGTTTTTTATTGTATATATTGCTTGGGAATAAATTTCTTAGTAAAATTCTATTCTCATTTATTTATGAATTAATGTGAATTATCATTTTTATTTATTTTTTCAACGATTTTACTTTCTAAAAAAAAAAAAAGAAAAAGATAATCCTTATCTTTTTGATTTTCATTCTAGAAAAAAAAACAACCATTCTTATCATTCGATTAATTATCTCAAATTAAACGCGAAAGTTCCGTGCCTTTATCTCAGGTTCGTAAATTCAATGTTGAGTCTTAATTAATATTTCCCGATGACCTATTTTTTTCTATATGACCTTGATCATATAATCATATGTCGGTCATATTAAATGCTAATGAAAAAGAATTTTACAATATATCAATCTTCGTTATCTATGACAAGTCATAAAGATCATTTAGGTCATTTAAGGACATAGACCAACACTGGTCTTAATCCTATAAGATTCTTGTTTATTTGATATCCATTGTTAACATTTTTAAAGTTTGAATTAATAATATATATAGCGCTCCAACTAAAATCGATTTTCAACAACGACCCACTTATTAAGAGGATTTGCATAACAAACAAAAGATAACGAAAATCTCGAATATTAAATTAACAATGATCACACAAATAGACAACATATATTCAGGTTTATTATCTAAACGTAAATAAAATAGTCTAAATTAGTCACGTCAAATATGTAACGGTAAGTATATATATATATTTGCTGATCTAAAACAATTTTGGGACTTTTGATTTTTTTTTTTTTCTCGAAATCTTTGCATAAAATTTATATATACAGATATTTACGTATCGGTATACTTTTTTTTTACTGTTAACTATAAGTATATATATTAATGATTTTCTTATATTTTTAGATTTGCATTAGATATATCTTTTAGAAACAAAATGCCCAATGCGCGATATCCAAACTACGTAATACGTAGTAATATAAAAATATAAACTACGTATTCACTACGTACTTTTATTGTAACATTACCACCAATTTCATCCCATCATGGCCTAGATGAGGTCTGTGGTCCACACTATATATATAGTATAATATAGATCATGAGATTAATTAGTCTTAATTTAATTGTATATAATTCACATAAAAATGTTATTGGGATTTATTAGGATTTTATATATTAAATAAAAAACTGAAACCAGACTTTGCTCTCTAAAAGAAACATGTTTAATATATAATTGAAATTTTTTTCTTTGTAAAAAACATAGTGATTTAAATCATAATTATCAGAATACAAGTAATTCAAATCTTTTATTTCATTTTATGAAAATAAAACTTTCTTAACCTTATACTGAACTGTATTTTAAAAAATCATTTGAATAAATAATCCCCTTTTATTGTATATCTTACATACGCGACTACATAAACTCAAGAATCGATTCTCTGAATTTCTATCCTAATTTAATTGATCAAGTTGAATAGACTTATAGAAACAATTTAACCCGCAACAGCGCTGAAAACTATATTAAAGTGCCCTCATACTTAGAAACGTTCGTGAACGTCAAGGTGATATTTTTATAAATTTAAGAACGCAAATAAAGAAGACAAAAATAAGTTTGTTTGTAACGTAAGCTCAACTTCAAACATTGTTTCCACCGTAATTTCATGTAACAAAGCTAAGATATAGTATTTAAAAATTTACTATCGCATGCAATTCAGGTAATTTAATTTTATCGACCGGTTTAACAACCCCAGATGTATATACACCAGTACGCATTTTTATACAAACACAAACTCAGATTAAATAATAATAAAAAATTTATACAATTACCGTGATACTTTTGTGACCGAAATCTCTTGGAAAAAGTATCTATCTGGTCGGCATTTTTTTTCTATCGCTGGTAGAAATAAAGACAATAGAACACCAGTTAGAAGCAGATATTGATGTATATAAATAAATCAATGAAATATTTATTTTGAAAAAAAACTTTTATTTAACACAAGTATTCGAGGGAAAAGATTATTTTTCGTGAAGGCAGTCGAACCCCCTTTATATACAAAATTACTAGGCCGCAAAAAGGACATACGAAAACAAAATAGGGCATATTCAAGATGCACAACTTGATGCAGTTCACAAAGACAAGTAAACGCAAAGTTCATGCATCTCTAACGTAACATACCCAATGTAGATCATCTCTAACTATAAATAGGACCTTATTTTGTCTTTGTCGTTTGCAACTCTTCAATGAGATTGTTAACAGAACACTCCATAGTATACTGAAACATATAATACACTCCGGATTATATATTTTAATATACTCTAAAGTGACCATAAACAATACTACTTTTTGCCCTTCTCAAAAAGATCATACTTTTTAATCGAATATTAACATATCACCCTTTTCTTTTATGAATGACCCAAGGTTTTAAGAAACAAAAGAATTATTTTCACTTCATACGTCACAAGGTTGGAACTAAGACCTTGGTAGAAATACTATAGTATCCGCCAATAAACTTTACAATTGTAACAATCAGAACAAATGCTAAAATAAAAAATGCTCGAAGTTGAATTAGAATTAATTAGAATTAATTATTTGTTGTAATATTAATTTTAAAATTTAAATATCCCATGAAAATGATCAAATGAAAAATTTCAAATCATAAAAAAAAATAGAGATTAAAAATATACACACATAAACCAACCTGTTGGGCCTTGAAATTTAGAGCTAAATGACAAGAGAGAAAACTTGGTTAAACAATTTATGTAAAAAAAATAAAGTTGGTAAAATAATCAAGATAAAAAATTGATTAAGGCAGTTTAAATGTACAATTTATAAATGAAATCTCAATTAAAAGGAAAAAGCTCAGGAATAAAATGACATAAAACTGAATTACAAATGAAACATCGTTAGAGATGATAAATAAAAGATATAAAATATTTCATAAAGAATTTTCTAAAAAGGATATCCGGCCTTTACCAAAAAAGGGTGAAGAACTATCAATAAAATATGAAGACAAATGTACGAATAAAGCCTTTAAACAACCGTTTATCATTCACATAATCATCTTAGCATCCATCGGTGGAGGAACCAATATAACATTGCCATTAGTCAACTCTCTCTTGAATGTATTAAGATTCTGTGTAAGCCTGTCCCGATTTTTAGTCGTTAAATTAAAGTCTACGTCTTCCATAAGAGTTTTGATAGCCTAAAGTGATAAAATTTCAGTAAGTTATCAATAAGAATAAGCATTTCAATATAACTTGAACAAATAATAACCTTTCTCAATGCCTCTCTTCTTTCAGGTAATTGGTGTTGCAAAATATTTTCTGTATATTTATTAAAGTACTTTTATATAAAATTATATATTAGATTTCCAAAAATAAAAATAAATAAAATAAACATCACTATAAAAATGAATTCTGTCTTACATCTTGGTTTAATAATATTAAACATAGCAGTGGGCGTGACAATGACCATTGATTTTGTCTGTCTTCAAATAGAACCACATTGAAATTTGCTATGAACAAAGTAGGCAATACGGTAGGAAACTCGTTTAAATATACGAGAAGCCAATGTTGCTTAGGCTTTTGCATTGCAGACTGTTGAACCACAAATGTACATATATGGTCAATAGCATTGCATGCAGAAGAACATGGAGCTCCATGTTTAATGTAGAATCAAGGGTAATATTGAATAACTTAAAAGTAAAAAGATATACTAAAAGATTTTAAAGGATATCAGGTTGTTGAATACCCTCCGCGAGAGCACGCATAATATACAGAAAGACGTCTGAATCCATGCTTGGTAATGTCATCATATATTCAATGGTAAAAGTATCCAACCAATCAAACAATGCCTTTGAAAACTTTGGATATGCCTAGATCAAATGTTAAATGAGGCTCGATGTATTTAATAACTATTTAAGTGGTATCAATTGCAAACAATCATAATAGTTACAAGTATGTCTTCAAGTGGTACGCTGAGCATCATTTCAAAGGATGTTTTTAAGGCAACTTCTAAAGCGGTATCACCATATAATGCAAAAACTCCAAAATTGACATAACGACCAGCAAAAGATTTCGTCAAAATATTAAAACAAATAGAAATGCCCTTGTATCTGTTAAAGTGTAACAATTTTTCAGAGTAAACATTATGTTAAACACGTGCAAGATTATCGTATAGGGACTTACTTTTCGACACGTTTGTCAAGACTCATTAAAGGAATATTTTTAATTTGGTGTCCTGAAAATGAAAAATCCATGAAACAAAATCTGACAAAGATTCAATTCACAAAATCCGAAAAACTTACCATATGTGGATATCACCTTGCTTTTGAAATTGAAATAATTAATTGTGTTAAATAGTACAATATTAAAAACACAAACAATAACAACTAAATGTGGGTTCAATAATATACCTCGTTTCTCTAAATAATAATATACCATTCGGTGATGAGATGTCAAAATTCAATCTTGATGTTCGATTGTTTACAAATTCGAGAAAGAACTTTAGGATTGTAATGACCAATTTGTCGTCGGACCAAGCCTCCAACGCACGACAAAGGATTTGCATATAATTAGGATAAAACCATTCAAAAAAATTTAAGAAATTCTTTTTGGCCTGAATAGCTGAAAGGAATCCTCTCAAATCACGAAATATTCCTGAGAGCGTTGCCTTAATTAGTCGAATTGATGTATATTAGTTTTTTTTTTCTTTAAAGAAATCTCTATAAATAATCTTTATAAAGCCGCATCAAATTAATTTCTTGGTTTCATAATTCAGCCTCATCAGTTTTATAAATGGTTGAAAAGTTCAGGTAAATTAAAAAGTTGGTTGTTAAATCACTTGAATTTTTTATGTTATGGAAACCAAGAAATTAACTGTATAATTTAAATATACATCTTTGTGCATCAAAACATACTTCAACAGCCGGTTGTCTAAAAGCCTGAAAAGAATTTAAAGAGCCGAGTTGAGCCATTGTAAGGTCCCAAGGTCTGACAAATTCCTCAAAATCTCGCTCAACATTATCATCGGCAAATAATATTCTTGAAAGTGCCGAGTAATATATTACACGCGCTCTTAAGTTATTAGGAGAGTCAAGAAATGGAAAATCTTTAACCGTATGTTTCTGGATAATGAATTGTGTAGTTGGAATATTGCGGAGTAATCTGACAGAACTATATCTAATGAAAAAATTACGAATCAAATAAATCAAGTGTTAATTATTTAATCATGATTAATAATAGATGCTATACATTAAATCAACTAGCCAAGATAACTTCATACCCCCCAGCCAAATCATTGAAGAGAGCCACAGTCCGTTGAATTATCTTTGAACAATGAGCCCACATATTGAGGTTGGATCCTCTAATATATTAAATAGAACATATTAAGACAATTATATAAAGAAAAAAAACAAACGCAGAACTAATTTACGTACATTTTTTGCACGATTAGATCCAACAGCTAAATAAAAATAAAAAATAAAAAAATTAGTTAATTAATTAAAATGACATTTCAAAAATATGTCGAGAAAAACATTAAACCCGTATACTTTAACACACCATTGTCTGATCATTAATTCCAAGTTGATCGGATAATTTACTATATACCTTGGATATTTTCTGAGGACTTTCGCCAATATAACTTTTTCGAAATTGCTGGAAGAAATATATAAAAGCTAATTCTAATTTTTCATATCCAGTATCGTTGCCACGCTGTTTATAATATACTAATAAGTTAACTCAACTTAAATACAAGTATGATAAGGATACGAAAAAAAATACCGGCCCATTCCATGACTTAATTGCAGTTAAAAGGTTCACAACTTTACATGTTAGTTCCCCATCAATCAAATCTTGATCTTCCGTGCTAACATAAGTCTATATTTGCAATGAATGAGTTCATATACCATAATGTATTAAACAAGCGACCTGAACAAAAATAATATGCACCTGTCTTCCCCCAATAAGACCTCCAATCATGTACACTAACCAGGCAAACTTTGCTGTATTCAAATGTGAACAATTAAACCATTAAATATAAGAAATATTACAATTAAATCAGCAGTAGGCAATAAAATTCATTACTTTCAATAACATCTAAAATTGTCAAATAGTCATGGACAACGCCAGTGTTAACTTGTTGCAACAATGCCTACACGCAAACATAAAAGGTGAGGATATAAAAAAGGTAATCATATAACAAGCTAATATGAATAAAGCATACTTGAAATTGTTGAGCTATAGGATTAAATGAATTCACGATAGCTATATTTGCTTCATCATATTTACATCGTGCAATATTTGCGAACATTTCAAGATCATTAATAAGTGCGTCTTCATTTTCCAAAGGATCTTTTAAGGAAACAAAAAATAGAAAATGTAATTATTACTTGTCTAACCAAATGTATTACAACCAAATATATTATTTAATATTAAAAACGAACCGTCAACTGCACTCTCTATGGTTGTTTTTACTGATTCAATTTTTGATGTGACAAAAGCATGCGTTAACTGAATATAAAAAGAGAAATGATACGTGCATAAGTAAGCGATCATATATAATTGATTTATTTGACTTAATGAAAGTTACCCTAGACGCGATCAACTCGAGTTTTGATATAGAACCTGGGCGCGAACTTCCAGTTGACGAAAGCATTTTTGACCAAAAAGTAAGTAAATATTGCATACTATTTGGGACTAACTAAAATTGAGAAATAGAAAAAAAAAGATAAGAACATGAGTATTAGAAAAGTCAAGCCTAACTCAAAATATATGTATATATATTAAACGTTGATAAAGGCCAGTACCTGCCAATTATTGAAGCCTTTAATAGAAAAATCAGCAACCAAATCAATCCATTCATTGTATCCAGATTTTTCAGCAATTTCGCTCAATTGATATGTTGATCTAAACCTAGAAAGAAGGCGGCAAAACTCATGATAATTGTTCAAATCAGAAAGCCCTATATTTCCAATCAGGATTTCGCTGATTCCTTTCATCAAACCATATAAAAATTTGGATCTCTCTTCTTCATTAAAAAGAGATCTGCGAATGGAAGAAACTAGAACAATAACCTCCATAACCTTGTGAAATTTAAAAAACGTTAGTATTGAATTATTATAAGAGTATTACTATACTATATATAATATAAAATAATAATAATAATTAAAAATAGTACTTGGCTTGAATGAGGTGGCTGAAATTGTTTATATGCCTCAAACATGATTTGAAGAAATGATGGATCTTCGACTGTTGAACGCCACGATGATGTAACCTATATAAAAACATATTAATCAAATAATCAATTATAAATAGCGTGTAACAAAAACAGGTCATTACTATATCTTACTTGGATGCTTCCAACATCTTCACCAGATTCGTCGGGAGAAGTGCCGATAAAGTCAAAGGCCAAACAGTTGCGGAGCAATGTTAGACAATATTCTTTCGATTTGTGTTCCTGAAGGTCTGAAGGAAAAAAAACCATGAGCATATGTTAAGTTGCGTGAAAAAATGATAAAAAATACATCGAACCATTCGTGAATAAGATTCCACTGTTCAACAATCTTCGCAAAACGACCAATCCTAACTGAAAAATATCTAATAACGCGGTATCCCTGAACCCAATTGCTTAAATAAAAAATTATTAAATATGTAATATTTTTAAGACCAAAATAAGACAGAGTGATGCAAATAAAAGCACGTACCAGTTTTTCTTTGTTTAGTTAAATTTCTTGAAGATTGTTGATTCATTTCCACAACGGTTATAGAAAGAATTTGCAAGCCTACAATGATGTGATCTGATGTGGACTTTAAGTGCAAGAAAGTTATAACGCGTTGCATAAAAGCTTTCGCTTTATATTTGTACTAAGAACAAATACAATCAAATCATCAAAAAACCCGATCATGAAAATAACACTTACCTGAATAAAATTTGTCAAATCGTTAGTAATATTTTTAAATTCTTCGCCTTCAAACCATCCAACTTTTGTAATAGTAGCAAAAAGTTGAGCTAGAGAAGATAAAACAAAAGGCTGATAATCTGGATGTTGTGCCATATAATTCAAGACAAAATTCCCTTATATTTTATTTTATTTATTTATTTGTTTGAGATTTATAACAAAATTAGACAAATAATTTGCCAGAAAAAAAAAGAAAAACGCGTTTATTATTTCTTTGTTAAAACACAATATATAATTATTCAGCCCGAAAAGAGCAAACCCGTACTCAGTTCTATTTTTTGTGGCATGGAAAACATAGTATAATGATCCAAGACGAGACCCTTTAACCTTGCAGCAGCAAACATTTGGGCATAAGGAGAAGATGATTTTTCTAGGAGCCACCTACAAAACATTGAAGTCTCAAGAGGAGACTGAATTTTTACACCTAGGGGATTTGCCCCGTTGGCACGTACAGTCGAGGTCTCGGAGAAAGTTGGAAAGGCAACGTCTAGAAGCCTTTCGGCGTTGGTACGCTGTTCTTGAGACTTCGGGGAATATAATTCTGTCCACCAACGATGCAAAGAAATGGAACCAATTTTGAGCAACACGCGTACTGCTATATAGCAAGAAAGGTGAATGCTCTATAACCTTGGCATAGGGTATCCACATATAATACGTTTTGATTCTGAAATTCATTCATCCTTTAGGTTAAAACAGAAATATCAACTCAAAAGACGTCCGCAATCAGCTTGTATTAACAACAAAAGAAAACTAGAATAAAAGAAATATATTTTTCGACAATTAATAATCTTATCAATTATTGATATTAAGTATTATATACAAAGTCGTCATTACGTTTCTGAATTTCCTATTCAGATGTTGTATGAACGTTACACCATGGTCATCGTCATCAAAACCCAGCTGACACGTGAATTATTTACGTAATATATTACAAGTTATATTACAAGTGTGTAAGTATACATCACGCTCATATATAAATAGTATTTTAAAAAGCAGGTTTACTGTTGCCAATAATTGTGGTATCCGGTATGTGCGTCAATGGCGCAATTTATATGTTCTATAAATAGCTATAACGACAGTAAATCTCTCGATAAGCTGATAAATACTACCGTTTCCTACTGTTTATCCAAGAATCTCATTTTAAAATCGAACAGTATTACCTGGTACTATCCATTGTTTCAGTGGTTCATTGAAGATGGGTACTTTGTGAGGTATTATTATTTTTAGGGATACTGTAAGCAATGCAGTAGTTGACGAATGTGATTTACCTCAAACTTCATATGATGCAGAAAGCATCAACAATTGTTTCGAAAATCTTAAAATCTTTCAGCTCAGTTTATAGGCAAAATTTTCAGAACTCTGTCGATAAATTTAGTGCTTATTATAAAGAACAAAATTATCGGCGGAATTTCGAAAAACTTTTGCTCTTACGCTGATTTCTTGCATCGTAGAAAGATTTTCACATGTTTTTTGTGAATCTAACTTAATAAAATTCTTGCATACCCCATAATCCACTCACACATACAGCATATTCAGCATATTCTCAATAAAATGGTGCGCTATTGATAATCTGAGTTTGATTCCAGGAATAATAATAGTAGACCCCAATAAATTGAATTTGCTAATTAAATAAAATAGATTATTTTACAAATTCAGTCTGTCGATATTCCTTCGTTTTAACGGGACGTCAAGATTACACGGATACGGTCAGGAACTTTCACATTTAACTCTCCTGCTCCTATTGTTAACTAGTCTGGTGATGTACATCGTAATGTGATCAATATAAAATGCAGGAAAGGAAGTAAAATATGTAAATCAACTTTCTTTACCAGTCGCACAATTTGTTATGCAGATCATGGGGTAAATTTTTCAACAAAATTGTTACTTTGGCAAATTTCATTCTTATCAATCTCGTCGCAAACTTCAAGATTGTCTTATACCATTTTGCATTTAATAAATTTTTGCTTATTGTTTCTTCGTTACTCGTACCATCCTTAAAACTTATACCTGTAAATGAAGAAGCTGAGATTTTCGATTAAATCGTTAGATAGGGTGTCGCTCAAAATCCTCATTTAGATACGAATAAATTTCTAAGTTCAATTACAGAAGAATTTGATGCTTTGGTAAGACAATAGTTAATCATATACTACTTGTTGTTTTCTCCCAAATTTCTTTGGCGGAATTTTTTTCCTCCAGGATATTTTCAAAAATATTACAGTATTATGAGGTCATTTGAAACTTGTTTGTCATCCATTTCCTGTTATGTTAGCCTGAAGACTGCACTGCAATTTGATTCCGTGCTTTTAATACTGTTTTGTTGACAAGCTGGATTGATCAGCTTGATCAGAATCGTTATCTTTATGATGGAATTTGATTCTGATATTTTTCACGACAGATGTGATGACGGCACTGGTGAAATTATGATAATACAGCCAAATCATGTGGATGGCTAATGACAGTGATTGGAATACTGAAAGTAGTTTCCTGTTTATTTTTTGGGGATCTGAATTAGCGTTCGATGATTGAATTTATTGAAACTGACCCCGAAAGTTATTTACCTGACAGGCCACTTACCCGACATCACAAGGGTGACTAAAAATATATAATCAAATGCTAACCCAACCTAATGTTGTTAGTCGAAATACCCTATTAAGTCAAATATTTAGACAATTTTGTTTCAAAATATATTTTGACATGACATTATTTTTTGGTCGAAATGTCAAAATTTTTAATTTGACTAAATGTCTAAATAGTTGACTAAATAAATACTATGTCTAAATTAATGATAGAGAGCTTGTACATTAAAGTAACTAATTTTTAAATTGATGATCCCAGTTATAAACTTTTAGCATAGTGAGTGCTATGTAAAAAAAAAAAACACACATAAAATGTAGAAAATTTTCAAGTATCATTTAGAAAAGCTTATATAACTAAACCTGGTTGATAAGGCAAGCAACCGTTTTTGAATAAAATTTATATAGTGTGAAATTCACAAAATAAACAAGTTCGGATACTTATTAATAAGTATGTATATATTTTTTTTAATTTTAGACATTTCGACATAATTTAGAAGTTTAGAATTTTGGAAAACGAATTATCAAACTGTGCCAGATTTTGTGACATAGTAAAAATTTTTAAAATTCATTAACGTTAGGGTTAGCACTTAGAATAATATTAGATAGTTATACGGCAAAATCACTCAAGAAACTTTTTTGTTATAGCACTAAAAGTGGTTTTTTATACGTACTGATTTTGAGAAATAAGCGATTTTCGTTACACTTGATTCTTGAGATCTGATTTGTGGATCAGACACAATGAGGGTAAATAACTTTCAGGAATTGAGCGAGAATCGATTCTAACATTCGATTTTAAAATAATCTAATCTTTAAAAAAAGTAAATTTAAATATTTTCACCTGCTTGTCTTTGTCCACGATTCTGCTTGTATTTGACGTTCATTAATTATCTACATTTCTGTAATTTCAGATTTTGCTGCCATCTAAGTCTTTAGCATAATTGAGTAAAAATTTTTTGACTAAATAAACCTTTACCGTTAGCTATTTTCAAATACAAACTCTAACGGTATTATTAAGGTATTGCCTAATTTATCAGCCTTACAATTTTTCTTAAGGAAACGATTAATCGATTCTCGTTAAAAAGATTCGATTCTGAACACTAATTAGGATATAATAGAAGATGCCAAATTGAAAATTTTATTATGTTATTCGATTTAATAAGCGTCATGATCCAGAATGTTTTTAATTTAGATGGAAGTTATTCTCGTCAAAGACTATTTAAACAGTATTTACGGTATTTTTATAATTTAATTAATTTAATTATATGCGGCTACAAATATTTAAATTGGAATGTAACATTGATCAAAGCTCTGGCCAATAATTAAACAATTTATTTTTATTGTTTTAAAAATTTTTAAAAGTGCAGTATGCATCAAGTTTAGAATTTTATTTATTTTTATTTCAAATATATATTACTAAAAATATTTAATCAATATATATTGGTATCTGTTAGCTATTATTTAGAATTGACTAGATGATACCCAGGTTACATAATGAGGATTTTAATACCAAGTGACCCAAAAGCGTAATAAAACCTAAAAGCTTGCAAACTATACCAAAGCTTTTACAACTTGGGTTTGTAAAAAGTGAAAAGTTGTAACCATTAGAGAGATTTTAAATTAACTGTAAAGCAAATATTAAAAACAACAAGAAATTATACTTATCCTACTTTTTGTGATAAAGAGGCTTTCTCAAATAAGAAAGGTATCATCTCTTCCAACCTATTATTTATGCTCTTTCTTGCTAGGGTTGGTTAATGTGCTAAAAAAAATCATATACACTAAAAGAACCTCATATTTGAAATCTTTTAAAAACTAAAAGTTAAAATAGACATAGTAACTAAACACAAGCATGTACAGAATGAAATACTTATTTTAATAAAAATTGCCAAATTCTTTACAAAATATATATGTATAAAAAAAACAAAAATAAGAGATGTAATAACTTAGTAAAGTAGATAAGTTGTCAATTTTTCAAATGGTAGGTTGGGTATTTAAAACCTATTAACAATAAAAATTTGAATAAAACTATATAATATTTATATTATAATAACTGTTTTTAATAATTAGTTAAAATATTTGTAATAATTGCATTAGCATGATTAGCAGATTATAGGTATTTGTATAACTGATTATACAAAGAAATACAAACTGGCATTGGGTAATGCAAACCCAAAATAAGTTCTTATAATCATATAAATTTCTTGAAATTAGAAATCAAAAAGTTTATTTAGGAAGATCCAAATAAAGAAATAACATAAATTTTTAATAACATTATTGTAAAAACTAGATCTAAACAAATAAAATACATTAATTTTTTTTTTTTTTGGTATTAAGGTGACCTCTTTGATCTTTTGACTTTTATTAATCACTTGTCAGTATTGTGGTTCAATGAACCACTACAGGAGAGTGTACAATTGGCTACAC